CAAATCTAGACCTTATCATTCATTAAATGTGTGACTTTGGGTCAAATTTACGTGGAATTCAATGACTCAGCTTCTCCATTTGTAAAATAGGTAAATAAGAATACCTACTGTGTAGTGCTATTATGAAGGTTAAATAATAAAAGTACCTTGATGTGTAATAAGCCCTCAAGGGAAACAATAACTTACCGTTATCACAAAAGACTTGAACTAGGAATAGAAAAAAAGAAGTTTGGACCGACCATATTGAGAAATCAAAGACATGCCCAGAACTTGGAGGGCTCTGTTTAAATGCCATTTTTAATGTATAGGGTAGAAAGAACATAACACTTATTTGTACTTTAACTTATTTTAATGTCCTCTCCTTAAAATGAAGATAGCAATATCTTATTCATAGGCTCTTGTAACCTGAGTACTTGAATTTTTTTTTTTTTTTTTTTTGTATTTTAGGGAAAGGTCTACAGGGTGTTCAGGGTCTTACTACTGGATCGGACTCATAGTGATCCGCCTGTTTACAGCCTCCCAAGAGCTGGGATTACAGGTGTGTATCACCATGCCAAGTCTCAATGCACCCTGGGGGCGAGGCCAGCACAGCAAGCCTGGGGATTGAACCTAAACCCCCTGGCCCCTTTGCCTGCTTGCAGGTGCTACTTAATTTAATGGCTCTATATATTACTCTGTCTGACGGAGTCAAATATGAGGAAGTAATTCCATTTAATTAAGAGTTCTGATGAGCTGGGTTCTGGTTAGTTGAACTGTTGTATGTAAATCAATGTAATGGTGGAGGAGCTCTGCCACATAAACACTCAGCACCTGGTATAGTTTGGTTGAGCACCTTTGTTTGATTTAGAAAAATTCTTTCCTTTCCTGTGGTTTCTTAACATTGTGAATCCTTAACTGAATCTGCACCCAGCTTCAATTTTCAGTTGGAAGAGGATTTTTCTTTCCAGAAGGTTTAAAAAGATTTTAATTGGCCGACTTAGTAGGATTGATTTAAATTAACCCAAGTCTCCTGCAAACAAAGGAACAATGGTCTGGCACCTTGTCATTCCTTATTTACTTACTTTTTTAATAAAAAGAGAAAAATGGGAAGTGTTCAAAACTGAGCCACAGGCTGTGGTAAGGAATAAATTAGTAAATATCATGGGCGTTAGAGAGATAAATACTTGATGAGAATTAGAGAATCCTCAGCAGTCACCCTTTCCTTATTGTACTTTGTGGGATGTTATCCAAGCATGGCACGCGGCAGCCCTCCAGGGAAAAGAGAAGCAATGACGAAGTCCTTATCCTTGAGAAGGCATCAGGAAGAAAATAAACAGAAAGATTTGCTGTGATGACTAAAGAGCATTGAGATAAAGTGTAAAAGAATTGTGCAGGTTGAGAAAGTGGGAATGGACTGAGTGCACTGTGGATGATAAACAGCAGAAATTCATTTCTTCTAGCTCTGGAATCGGCAACACTTGAAGAGCAGGGTGCCAGCAGATCACGCTCTGCTGAAGGCTTGCTTCCTGGTTTATAGTTAGGGACTTCAAACTGCGTCCTCATTTGACAGAAGGGATTAGCTAGTTTTCTGACTTTTTTTTTTTTTTTTGTAGTGTGACTTGAACTCAGGATCTTGTACTTGCCAGGCAAGAATTTACGCCACTGAGCTATATCCCAAGGCCTCTGACTTGTCTTTTCTAAGGGCACTCATCCCAATAATAAAGGCGTGTTCTTTTGAATTAAGCAACCTTCCAAAGGCCCTACCTCTTTAATGCCATCACCCTCCGGGTTAGGATTTCAAGAAATGAATTTTGGTAGGTCACAAACATTTAGACTGTGGCAGATAGAGGTGTCTTTGTAGATTCATAAATCCATATTTTTGATTACTATAACTTCAGAAAAGGGCTTTTCAACTACCGGTATTATGGTTGGATCACTTTGCTGTGGATGCTGTGTGAAATACTGTAGGATATTCAGCAGCATCTTTGCCCCCTACCCACTAGATGCCAGTAGCATCTCATCTGTTGCTCCTTGCCCACCCACTCCCACTCCCATAGGACCACTAAAATGCTTCCAGACTTTATCAAATATTGGAGGGGGGCTAAAATTGCCCCCAGTGGAGGACCACTGCTTTGAAAGAATTCATTTTAACTACTTTATTGACCCTGGAGGCACTAACATCCCTCTTAGACGGTGCTTGTGGGAAGGTCATTCCTCTGGCTACTGGTAGATTTCTCTAGCACTAACTGGCTAAGCCAGGTAGGCCTTCAGGTGGAAGGCCTCCTCAAAGTGGGCTGGGCCAGGCTGCAATGCTACATTTCTAACTGTTGAGGTATACTAGATTATTTCTGAACTACCTTGAATTTTGTCTGTAGAGGTCCTTGTCTTTCTGAAATGAACATGATATGGGAATAATGATACTCAGTACTGGAGTCTTTATGAAACACTTGATAAGAAGTTAGGAAAAAATTATAGAAGTTCAGTTTAATTATTATGATAAAACCTGTATTCTCCTAAAAAGTGACTTGGAATCATTATCTCAATACAACCACAAACTGGGGCCCATGGTAGGGAGGAGATAAATTACCAAGTGGCATTTAGGAAAACAAAAACTTTGCAAGATAAAAACATTCACATTGCCTCTCAGCTATGGACAATGCTATTTGATTGTCATATTTATACCATTATTGGCAGCATGCATACAATTTAAATATTTTAACTTTCATTATACAACTAGATCTACATTACTGACCTTCAAGGGCTCATTCATAGAGAAAGAGGAGGGGGAACAATCAGCTTCTTCATGCCAGAGCTTCCCAGATTGTGAGACAAACCACACAGGGAGGCTTTGGAGTAGTTCTGAGCACATGGGAGGGTCCCCACAGAGGGTAGGGTGGGGGTGCTTTGGGGCCAGTGAGAGAGCCAAGGCTTTTTTCTTTTCTTTTTGAAAAAGAGCTGGCCCACCTTTGTTCCAAGGGAGAATGAAATATCCATTAAGACTGGTGACACTGGGAATTTTGTTTGCAGCTCAGTGCCTTTTGTTGTGACTCCACGGCAAAGGACAGGAATCTGGGGGAAGGAGGTTTCCAGCCAAGATGAGAAAGAAAAAAAAATTCCTTCCAAGGATTTCTTCTATTGTCTCTGGGAGAATAAATATTTATAGAGAAGGTTCAAGTGAAGTCTGTCACAATGGTCGTGGCTTTAACACTAAGCCTTTGGGAGAGTACAACTAAAACTATGCTTAAATGAAGGGGTGATCCCATTAGGGTTCCCAGAGAAAACCAAGAAACCTCAAGATAATTTCCTATCTAAAATCTAATTGTGTTCTCCAGTGGAATAGGAATATGAGTCTGAATTATCCCAGATCCATAGACTGCAGCAAAAATGTATAGCCAAATTAGATTTTATTTTAAGTAATTAAGTTATTTCCCTTTACAGGACCTATAATTTGTCTTAAACAAATGTGATTAGCCTTAGAAAGATAAGGCATTGCAATTTTTCCTCCAAAATGGATTTTCTGTGCCAGAAACAATTACTAAAAGTAGACCAAATATTGCCTTAATTGTATCCTAGTTATTAGCTGAATGCAGGCCCAGAGCATCACTTGTGTTCCAAAGCAAGGTAGGTAAGGCCACTATGGGTTTAGAAATTTTTCTTTAAATGGAGACCGGAGGTGAAATTTACTCAAGAGCCTGTGGCTTGCACAATGGTAGTGTAAATAGCCATGGTGAGGTTACATAACACCCCAAAATCTTATGCAAAATATGGCCTGCAGAGAGCTTGCTTCATTGGATCTTTCTTTGAGCTCCAAAGGCATCATTATTAACTTTTAGCTGCTTGGCTGGTCCTTTGCAATAGATTAAAATGTTGAGATTTGCATAGAAGATATAGTAAGAAAGGCATTTTGACTATGGTTAATTTTATTAAGTAAACATTCACTTTTGGCCTCATTTTCAACAACAATTTGGTTGACTTTTCACCAGGTGTTCTTTGGTACAATAGAGGGTAATCGTTAAGAGCAAGATCTGGAACGATAAACAGTATCAGCTCTTTGCGCTGCCTTTTGAAAACACAAGTTATGGAAAGTGGCTGAACCTTAGTTCATTCATCTGTGAAAAGGTAGTGATGCTATCTATACTTAAAACATTTAGATTTCAAAAGCATATAATAGGGGTGGGCCGAATAGCTCTGCAGATTAAAGTGCCTGCAAGCAGGCACAGGGGCTGGGGGTTTGATCCCTGGGCCTGCTGTGCTGGTCCCACCCCAGGGGCACGCTGAGATGGCAACTGAGGCTGCGTAATTGAGACTAGGTGTGGTGGCACACACCTGTAATCCCAGCTCTTGGGAGGCTGTGAACAGGCAGATCACTATGAGTCCGATCTAGTAGTGAGACCCTGAACACCCTGTAGACCCTTCCCTAAAATACAGAAAAAAAACCCCAAAAAACCCAAAAAACAAACAAACAAACAAACAAAAAATCAAAAGCATATAATGCCTGGTATGACACTGACATGGATTATGCAAGGGGAAAGTAGCAGTAAAAGCCAAACACCATTCATATCTTTCCATTTTTAGGTACACATATTTCTGAAAGATGATTTTTTTTTTTTTTTTTGTGGAACCGGGGATTGAACTCAGGTCCTTGTGCTTGCCAGGGAAGCGCTTATTCCACTGAGCCATCTCCCCGGCCCCTGAAATGTTATCTTTTATAGGAATAGGTACTGGATGGACAGCTCTAAGCTTTCATCTGCCTTGAAAGTGGCTAAGGCTTCAGATTCTTAAGTCATATTAGTTGGTTTAAAGCTCTCCTTTCTATATGCCTTTGACCAAATTTCTTATGCTTTCTGTAACTCACTTTCCTCTTTTATAAAATATTGAGTAATAAAAGTTGTGATGCAGGGTAAATAAATTACTACAACAAAAATACCCAGGGCAGCACCTGGTATGTCATAAACATGTCTATTATTTGTGTTCTGCCAGCCAAACTGATATCAACGGAAATTAGAACATAACACTAAGGAAAGTTTATGAAGTACTTTTATTAACAACTTAATACAAGACTGTACATTGTAGATGCTGAAGTCAACTTACTCCTGAAAACTGGCAAACCAGCACTTCTATACCACTTCAGCCTTTGGTTCTAAGTGCCATCTTCTATAGCAAAATCACATAGTGTAACCAAACAACGTAACAGGAAGAAAAAATGTTCCATTGGAATGAAGAGATTATTTATGCACAAACAGCTGAGGATCATTTCTAGCTTTACGTGATTCACTACATACTCAGGAATGTTCAGTTCCCTTTTCTACATTCCTACAACCAAACACACAACTAAAAACTTGGCCACAGGTCCTGCCTAGACACTCATTAACATAAAACAAAAATATAAATAAGTCAATTAAACCTCACAAAAACTAAAACAAGACAAAATCCAACAGTCAATAAAAACTGTACAGTAGGGTCAGTCTCTTGCGTTTCAAAAAAGTGTAACTTTAAAAAAAAGTTCTTTGTTGTATAAAATAGTCTCTGATGTCAGCGTTAGCTGGAATGAAAACTTGAGGACTCTGACTCGGTTGAAACAGAAGAATGTCCACCCCGCTTTCCTTTAGAAAGGATCTTGAGGCTAGACCCTCTGCTCACAGAGGTGAGTGCATGCTGGGCCGAGGTTTTAAATTTGGCTCCAAGGAAGGCATAGAGGATGGGGTTCAGGCAACAGTGGAAAAAGGCAAGGGCCTCCGTGATGGAAATCCACTTGTGCACAGTGTTCTCAAACTCACATCCTTGCTTGATGATTTCTAGGAGAATGAAGGAGTCGATGCTGATCCCAATGTAGTAAGGCAGCCAGCAGGCAAAGAAAGCCAGAATGAGGATGACTGTAGTTTTTAGGGCCTTGCGCTTCTGGTGGCCCTTGGAGTGTGACAGCTTGGAGATGATAATGCAATAGCAGGACAGGATGACAATACCTGGCAGGATAAGGCCAACCATAATGTGCTGAAACTGGAACACAACTACCCACAAGTCATTGGGGTAAAAGCGGTCACAGATATATTTCCCCTCCCCCTCACTGACATTGGCAAAGATGAAATCAGGGATAGTCAGCAGGAGAGCAGGGATCCAGACGCCAACATAGACCGCCTTTTCAGCCAACAGCTTCCTTGGCCTCTGGCTATTGGTGGCATGGACAATGGCCAGATACCGGTCCAGACTGATGAAGGCCAGGATGAGGACACTGCTGTAGAGGTTGACGGTGTAGATAACATGGACTGCTTTGCATAGAAATTTCCCAAAGTACCAGTCTGTCACGGCATCAACTGCCCAGAAGGGGAGCGTGATGACAAAGAGGAGGTCAGCCACTGACAAGTGCAGCCTATACTTGTCCGTCATGCTTCTCAGTTTCTTCTGGTAACCCATGACAAGTATCACCAATCCATTGCCCACGATGCCAGTCAAGAAGATGATGGAATAGATGGTGGGCAGGAAGATACGGTTGAAATGGGCATTTTCCTCCCTGAAGCAGGGTTCTTTTATGGAGTCATAGTCTCCGGAGCCCAATTCCTCAGAGTAGTTGTCTGAAGTGTATATCTGCAAAAGAGGCAAGGATATGCACATTCATTTCCAAGGTCTGCGTGCACTGCCCAAGTTTCACAAAATACGATTCTGGGACGTCAAAACCACTTATTGTTTTTGAACCCAACCCAGGCCAGCTTTCTTCAAGAAATTCTGAAGTAATGGGTCAGGGCCCAAGAGATTATACAATTCTACAACCATTCTCCCCATCTTCCCCCACAGTCACTTCATTATGTCCCTCTTTAGTGGAACCAATTATGAGATTCTTTGTTTAGAACAAAAGGGTGCTGAGATCCTAAGGGTTCAAAGTCACATCTTGGCTAACTCTTCCGCCCCGCCCACTGGAAAGAAAAAAAAAAACAAAACCACACACACAAAGAGGCCACTCCCAGGTGGCATGGGGTAGGGGCCGTGGAGGGTAGGATCTAGCAAGGCTGTGAGGAGGGGCTGGGATTAATTTTTTGTATGAAGATTAGCCAAGGAAGGGAAGTGGGGAGGGAGTATCACGTTGTGTGTGTCCCTGTTATTCTCCTAAGGCGAAAAACATTGCTTTTCCCACGCCGGTTTAAATACAAACCATTCTGCACTTCAGGCAACACGTCGGGGGAAAGAACAACAAGCCCTGCAGAAAACTTGTGGTATTGGGAGGCTGGGTGAGAACTGAGCAAATGGGCACCTTCTATTCCAAGTGGGCGCTCCGTGGGAGGTGGGTCTCTCGTCAGCCCCATGTTTCACTCTTAGTGCATTTGGGCCTTTAGGGCACGCAGCATTTTCCTGGGTGGGGATGTTCACGGGGTCTGAATCCTTGGTCCTTGTCTTGCCTCAAGTTTCATTTCCTCCCTCTCCCGGGTCCCTTCCCACCCTGCCACTGATCTGGCTAATGGGGTCGGAGGTGAGCATCTGGTAGCCTCCAGATAGTGGGCAAGCCGGGGCCGGGTGGTCCAGCTCCTTGCCGTCGCTGCCCACCACACCTACCGGCGGGCTGCTGCTGCAGGGGTTCGGCCCCCGGGCTGCTTGCCAACAGGGCTGGTCCCGCTGGGTGCTAGAGAGAGATTGGGCGGTTCCGCTGCAAGCGTCTTTGAATTGCGCGCCGCGGGAGGAAACGAAAAGCCTCCCCAGCGACGGGGTTTCAAAAGGCTTCAGGAAACCACCGACGGTTACATGCCGCAATTGGTCTCGGAGAGAGCCAAACCGTCTCCCCACTTGCACCTGCTTGTCTTCGCCGCGGCGGCCCAGCAGCCCAGGTGCCATACCAACAACTTGGACCCCCCAGGTCCCCACCGCACACACCTCCTGGCCTGCAGCTGCACGGTCCTTGTTTATACTCCTCCCACCCGGGCCAAGATCTAAACTCCTAAACCTCCCTGTCCACTGCTGCCGCGGGGAACGCAGGCAGTCTTCGCTCTCGCTCCCCGGGGCGCCAAGGGCTCCCGGCTAATTCCCAGCAGCTGCCAAGACCCCTCAAGGCTTTTCCCGCCCACTGCCCTCCGTGCCGGGAGGCTGGCACTGCTCCCCCCGCCGCACGGAGTTCAGCAAACGCGCGGTCAACGGCAAGAACAGAAAGGCGCCTTTGCTAGAAGTTCACCTGGTACGTGGTCTCATTCTGGGAGTTTAGTCCAGGCGTGCGGACCCCGACTTTTAAACTCCGAGAATGTAACTCACTCCAAGAAACCCCACCTCGCAGGGGGAAGAGCCCGGGTCGGAGCCCTGCAGCGCAGCGCGCGCCTTCTCTGCACGCGCGCACAGGAGGTTGTTTGCAAACAGCGCTCCTGCCTCGCGCCGCGGCATCTCGGGGCGACCGGCACCCACCAAAACCCTAGTGCCAATCTGTCCTCCTCACAGAGAAAAACATTCGATTCCCACGCCCTAAATAACCATGATCCCAGAAACTTCTTTCCGCGCCCCTTTTTCGGGACACCGGGTCCTCCAATGTTCTGGTCGCTTCTGCCCGCACGCAGAGGGGCTGGGCTCTAAGTTTAAGCGTTTGAGCGATCAGGACAAAGCAGGTTGAAACTGGACTTACACTGATTCCTTCCATGGTAACAGTTTACTCTCCGGCCGAAGTGGCTACCCGAGCACGCAACTTGTCGAGGTCACTTTGCTACCTGCTGCTGCAGCCAGCAAATTGAAGTTTCTGGACGAAGCCGGACTTTTATAAAAACACGCTCGCAGAGCGGCGCATGCGCAGTTCGGGCGGGGCGGGAGGGGAGGGCGGGGTAAACGATTGGGGTGGGGAGCGGGGTGGGCCAGGCGGGAGGAGGGCTCTGGGGCGGAACCGCGAGGTGAGAGGCGTGGGGCGCCTCTGCGAAACAGTTTGGTCACGTCGTGGCTCCCTGGCGGGGTAGGCTGTCCCAATTCAGAACTTGCGGAAAGCGGGGTGCACTTGGAGGGCGGTGGAAAGTATGAGTGTTTCTGCGTGAAGCATTCATCCTGGCCCACGTGGATGAAATTCCACACCTGAGAATGGTAGAAATGGAGACACTGAGGCCCAGCGAGGGGAAGTGAGTTGGCAGAGTAGCCCAGCCAGTAGGCGGCAATGTTGGAAGTAGGGCCCAGCGTCTAATTCCATTCCTAACCCTGTAATCCCAGGATTGGAAGGTTGAGGTAGAAGGAGCTCAGGTTTGCAGCCAACCTAGGCTACATAGTTCAACGTACTGAACTACATAAAAAGACCCAGTTTCAAAAGGCAGAAAAGAAAAATTCTTTGGACCACAACTGTTAACTATGAACAGGCAACATGTGTACCAGGATCAGGAGTGGACAATCAAGACAAGTTTTCAGAAGAAAGTAAGATTTGGAACAATCATAGAGACAGATGGAAGAGATGCATATTTCAATAGTGATAACCAATTGGTAATAATTGGGGGAGGGAGGGGATTTCAGTGTGCTCGAAAAGAGAAATTTAGTGACCAGAACTTTTTGGTAACAGAAGACCAGGAACTTGCAGAGAATCGCTTGTTCTCTCGCACTGCACCTTGTGGGCGATACTGTTATGGGCAAGTATTCAGTCAACAGACATCTGCACGAGACCCCAGGCCGTTCACTGTTGTAGGCACTGGGCTCCTGCGCTGAACCGAACAAAGGCTGCACGCAGAGGGCACAAGGAGCCAGGTCTCCAGGAACCAAGTGCCTGGTGTGGCCAGGGGCACTGCGCCTGGCTTGAATCCAAATCTTCGGGCTCCACATCAAGGTGCCTTCCACGGTTTTGTGCAGAGGGCGTGCACGAACACGGACGAAACATTAAGTTGCTGAGAGGGGCGGAGCGGAGCTGAGCGGAGCAAGGTGGAGACGGGGTTGGACGGTTAAACTTGTCCCAGACGGGCTGGGGTTTGCAGCGGGCGCCCAGACGGAGCTTCCCAGCCTCGCGCCACTTCCCGTCGGCGCCCAGCCGGAGCAGGGTGGGGCGGAGCGGGGAGCGCGGGGACCGCCCCGGGACCGCAGGGGGCGGGGCTGGGGCCAAGTGGGGGTGTCCGCCGGCTAGGCCTGAGGTGAGCGGTGGCAGCCCGTGCCCAACGTGCGCGCGTCCTTTCCGGGACGGTCCCACGGAGAGGACTTGCCCGGACCGCGCCCTGAAAGTACCCTCCTTTTCTGTATCAAAAGCCATAAAACCACACATTTTGGACAAGTTCCGCACGTAGTCTGGAGACTGGGCAACTTCTATGTAGAGCGTGGTTGAGCGTGGTTTTTCTCTTCTGTCTGAGGACACCCCCACCACCCCAAGGTTTGTCTGCTAAGGTCTTTGTACACTCTGCACTTTTGTTTGTACTGTAAGGGAAATGTACTGTGGAACTCCGATGGCCCACAACAGCCAAATTGGAAGGCACCAACAACGTCCACAGGCACTTTTACTTTTATCAAATCACTAATAAAATGTTAGAGCCTTCATATTTTTATAAATCACTCAGGAGACGCACAAGGTTGATAGTAGGACTCGAATTTCAGATGGTTTTGTATCTTTGCTTTCCAGGCAGCCTGGGAATGGCGGAAGCGTTTGTTTTATCCTGAATTTTCAGCTGTATTGTCCCTCAGAAATCTTCACGGTGGCTAAAATGTGGAAGCCGGACTCCCCGAAACCTGCCTCAGAAGGCGAGAGCACACATTCAGAATAAAAATGATTAGCACAATAAATATTTGTTGATTGTTGGTGGACAAAAGAAAGGTGCTTTTCTTTATCTGGAATCTCCTAGATCCTTTTAAGTATATCCGCTAAGAGGAAGCAGATAAAAGAACAATGAAACGCTATTTGGTGGCTATCAAGTTAGGCACAAAAGAAAAGTTTTTTTCAGAGGTATTTGGCCTTCGGATTTGAAAAGACCAGCTGCTTCTTGCCTGTCATTGGTGGGAGTGTGGGTTGGAACAGCCTCAATGGAAAGCATTTTTTATTTAGCAAGCCTTTAAAAAGAGTAATTTCACCTAAGGGAACTTCTGAAGAGATAGGATTTATGCCACAAAGGTATTCGTGGAAACATTAGGAATAGTGAAGTAGCTGAACAACACTGAGTGTCTACTGTTAGTGGAATGGTTGAGGAGGTTTTGGTATAAGGAATTCCACGTGGACATTGCAGATGATGTTTGTGAAGAATCGTTAATGGCGTGGGAAAATACTTTCGAAGCGAGTAGAAAAAGCAGGATTCAAAACCTTATCGTGTGATCTCAATTATGCTGAAATACATAGTATTAGAAAAAGACTGGGAGGGAGGAGAAAGTGAAATATTTATAGTAGATTTCTTTGGAGCATTAGATTTGATTTTTACTGTTTCCATGCATTTTTTGATGCTTTCCAATTTTCCTGCATTATTCATGAAAGCATTTCCGTATTCATCAAAGTCAATAAAAATTCAGAAAAAAGGGAATAAGAATGCCTACCTTCTCAAACCGTTGCACTTAGGATCCTTTAGATGTGATTACTTTTCCATAATAGTTCTTTTTATTTTTTCCAGGCTCATCCTACCTAAGTGTCTATACTCAACTCCTCTATGATGCACTTTTACAAAACAAGTAGAACTGCGCCCTTGACTGCCTGTAAATGCAGCTAGCCTCAGATAGTTCCCTCAACAAGTCTACCAGACAGGTGATGTCACTTCTTTTTTTGAGGGTAAGGAAACCAATGTCTGGAGAGGGTTAGAAGCTTGTCTGTGAGTGCCCATCCGTGGGGATCAGGACCCTGTCTGTCTGGCTGCAAAGCCCAGGCTTGCACTGCTACAGCACAGTGTCTCCCTTTCTGCGGCCTCTAAAAGCTCCTTCTTTTGTCTGGAAGGCCATTTGGCACTGTCGTACCTACTGCTTCAAGTGTCATCCCTTGTGAGGTTATTCTACTTTTAAATGCACGTATGCCTTTACTTTTCTCCCCTAGGTCTTTTAGGTTCCTTAAGGTGAACACACCCATAACTGCTCTAGAGCTAGCCCACTGCTAACCAATAATGGCTCCCCAGTCATTTACAGAGCCTTTATTTAAAGAATTAATGACTCTTCTGTGTGGCTCCGGCAGCAGAGGCAGCTTTAAAGGCTGTCAGGGCTTTGGCAGGGTCCCCAAGTTCTCAGGCTGGCTTTAGCCCAGGGAATAACCAGTCTTGGCCACAATTTGAAGGGGATGCTTACAAATCCAGTGACACAGTGGCAAGCATTCTGCCACCTCCTGTTGCTTGCTCGGCAGCTGGTTGATTTGTGTGAGCGTGCGTGTGTGTATATCTATGTATGTGATGGAAAGCTGTACTCTGTCCCAAATTAGGCCCGGAGTCAGTCTGGGAGAGAGCTTAGTTCTCCTTCTGCTGCTGGAGGGAAGGAGGGAGGGACTTCAAGGGCCTTCAGAATATACAGAGTTTGCCTGTTCAGTGAAGGGCTTTCAGAATATATAGAGAGGGCCTACTTTTTCCCTTCCTGCCCTTCACATTAAAACAAAAAAATTTTGACCACTCTTGTTTCTGAAAGAAAAGAAAAAATAATTCCTTGATGGTAATAGAGGATACCCAAAGGGATAAAGTTAATGTTTTCCCAAGTGATTAGACAAAAAAAAAAAAAAAAAAAAAAAAAAGGCATTTCCCAAAGGACATGGAGGCCTGTAATTCTACCCGAGGGATATAAATCTCAAGCAGACACTGCTATCAAATGTCAGCTATTTCCAACCTGGTGTTACATTGGAGAAATGGTCCCCTGCCTGACCACACCCAAGCCCCTTTCTCCTTCCTTAAGCCTGTCTCCAGGGCATACAGGTAAAAAATAACTTTGGCAATATCTATATATATATATCTATATATATATATCTTCTTTCTTGCATCTCTATTTTAAGAAAATTATCAGTGGTTTTCTGGGAACCATTTTTACCCTAAATATATCTTGTATTAAATTTTTGTAAGATTTATCTTCAGTAATATGAGATTGTTAGTGATTCTTACCAAAGTTTTACAGCAATCAGTGAAGGTCAACAAAATTTTCTACTCAAAAGAAAGAAAACTAGACTGGTAAGCACAAACAGGCAATTCAGGATTGCCCTGGTAAGCAGCCACTTAGTTAACAATACAGCTGTCATCACTTGACTAATTCCACTGCCACAAGAGTGAAGGGTTCTCAAAGTTTGTGTGTTCATGTGGCAGGTGCTGTGCAGCATTGTGGCTATGAAGAGTAGTAACAGACTCAGTGCTCTTGCCTCAAAAATTATGGTGTCAAGCTGGGAAAGAGGGCATGACTTGAGGAAATAATTGAGTGAACAAACCCTGTTCGCCATGGAAAAGGCTTGTCATTGTTTTCCTTAAACCAGTAATTTATTGGTGGTGACCTCAGGCAGCTATCTAACAAGAGGAAGTGCCTGGAGCCCTGTGGACAGTGTGTTTTCTAAAGAGAACTGTGCCTCCTGTGGCAGAGCCATGGTGCTTTCAGAAATGTGGTGATCTGATCACCCATACAGATGGGCTTTGAGTTTACCAAGAGCTTTGTATTAGTGAGGGGGCAGGGTGGACATTTTTTGTGTGTGCTTGTGCATAGGGAATTATTTGTGTGTATGTTTGTTGAGTAGGAGGATCCATGCGATGTTTTGCTTGACAAGTTTTCTATAGCTAGAACCATGAAGCACTTGGGGCTACTTGTAGGCCTAAAGTGCAGTGGACAATGTCTAGGAACTTCAAAGTACTGTAAATGTG